ACTTAATCTGGTTTTGGTTTAGAAAATTTGTGTCTGTTCATTACCTTTGATACCCATCACCTGATTTTGCTGGGAAAGGGTCATCTGAAGCCCATTTTAACTCACGTTAATACTCAACATCAGTGAGTCTTATATATATATATATTTTTTTTAATAAAACATTTTAGGGGCTGGAGCAATAGAACAGTGGTAGAGCGTTTACCTTGCACACGGCTGACCCGGGTTGGATCCTGGCATCCCATATGGTCCCTCGAGCACTGCCAGGAATAATTCCTGAGTGCGAAGCCAGGAGTAACTCCTGTGCATCACCGGGTGTGACTCCAAAAGCCCAAATAACAAAACAAAAAAAGCAACAACAACAACAACAACAACAAACCCATTTTGGTGGGGTGGGTGGGATTTGGGCTAACTACACTGGTCGTGCTGAGGGATCACTGCCAGCAGAGCTTAGGGGACCATACAGGGTGTCAGGGATGGAATCTGGGTCAGTCCTATGCCAGGCAAGTGCTGTGCTATCACTCTAGCCCCTTAGAGCTCTTCCTTCAACTAAACCTGCCCGTGTGTAATGACAGCCAATCTACCTGCTGCGCCCTCGGGCTGGGCAGGTTTCACACTGCTCTCTGCGGGTACTCCTGTTCTTCTCAGCACAGAGCCAGGAGGCCTGCCTCTACAGAGTAAACAGAGGAGGCCAGGTGGCATTTCTTTTGTGGTCACATGGTCAGTCTGAGGAGTGGCTAGGTCACATCTCAGGCCCCTGAGTCAGCCTTGGTGAGCGCTGCATGCTACAGTGCCTCAGAGTAAGAGCTGGGGCCTTGCTTGGGAGGAAAGGAGGGAGAGACAGTCGGAACCTGGGCCTTCTTGACCTCTCTCCAGGCCCTCAGGGACCTCCACGAACCCTCAGCGATGCCAACCTAGGGACCTCTGCTGAGAACTTTCACCCTGACCCCGAAGTTCAGAGGACTCCACAGGCTAGTAATCAGGATTGAGGTGTGATGGTGTGCAGAGGATCAGAGGAAGTTTCAGAAAGTTGGGATGAGGTCAGAGTACCCCCAACTCCCTTCATGCTTGATTACTAGGACTCGGGGAGGGAGGGGGAGAAATAACCTTTCAAAACCCTCCAATCGGCGCATATGCTGCCTGAGCCCATGTGTGCTTATGCCCACGTGGCTGAGCACACGTGGTGTCCAAGCACATGTGTCGCCCGCATCTCCCCTCTGGAGATGCGTACTTTCATGCTTTCATGTATAACTTTCTCTCTCTCTCTCTCTCTCTCTCTCTCTCTCTCTCTCTCTTTCTACCCCCCCCCCCTACTCCACACCTTAAAAATCCTCCAAATAAAATCTATTTACTTAAAAAAAAAATAACCCTCCAATCTGGGGCTGGAGTGATAGTCCAGTGGGTAAGCCGTTTGCCTTACACGTGGCCAACCTGGGTTCAATCCCTGACATCCCCTGTAGTCCCCCAAGCACCGCCAGGAGTAATTCCTGAGTGTAGAGCCAGGAGTAACCCTGAGCTTCGCCGGGTGTGACCCAAAAAAAGAAAAAAATAACCTCTCCAATCACTGCGAAATAGCTACAACCCTCATCCTCACATACTGGGAGAGAATTTCCCAGTGTTGACACTTATTAATTATTATTATTATTATGGGTTTTTTGGGGGGTGGGGTTTCGCACCTGGCTGTGCTCAGATATCACTCCTGGTGGAGCTTCAAGGACCATTTGTGGAGTGGGGATCAAACTGGGATCAGTTGCGTGCAAGGCAAGCACCTTACCTCCTGGACTAGCTCTCTTCAGCCCCCATGGTTGTTTGTTTTAAAAAGAACCTGCGGGAGACCAGGGTGAGCCGACGGAATCCGAGAGTCTTTGCAAATGGTGACGCTCCATGCTAAGTGGAGTGCAGCCAGGCAGAAGCACCACATCAAAGAGCAGCTTTGTTCTGCTATGGGGAGCCCCCGAGGGCTTAGCTCCAGCCAGGCCTCCCTGTCCTCCACAATACACCCCCACCCAGCAGCCTTACATCCCTCTCTCTGTCTCTCTCTGTCTCTCTGCCTCTCTCTCTCTCTCTCTCTCTCTCTCTCTCTCTCTCCCTTCAAATGTTCTGAACTGGAATGGGGCAGCTGCAGGTCTGTGTGGCTGTTTTTCCACCTTACTGGTTGTCATAAAAGGGTTCCTGGAAGGGGGGACCCCCATAGAGCCCTGAGTCCATCCTTGCAGCTAGATGAGGCAGATGCGGGGACAGTTAGGGAGAGAATCTCCTGGAACTACGAGCTCCAGGCCTTGAACCAAGACTCCCAGGGGAAGCTGCCATTGGGACAGGGCTGAAGGTAAGGAGGGATGTGTCTCTCCTGAGGGAGACAGAGAGTATGCAGAGCAGTGTGGCTGAGTGGCTGTCTCCTGTCTCCCTGTCTGCCAAGGCTTCTGCTCATCCTCCAACAGATGTGTGGCATCTCTGAGGAAGAAAGGGGTGGGAGGTGCCGCTGGGCTTCCTCCCACGGGTGGGTCTGGGGAGGTCAGGCCCAAGAGGCTCACCTCGAAGCACTTGTGTGAACTATCCCCTCATGCCCCATGGGAACCTGTTGGAGGTCAGAGACCCTCAGCTTCCTGTGAAACGCAGAGGTCTGCAAGGCCAGGCTAATGCCTGACTCCTCACACAGGGAATACCAGGAACCATGCCCCCTCCTGGAATAAATGAAAATTTTCAGCAGTCTCAGACCACTATGGGAACTTCTATTCTCTCAGTGAGGGAATGAGGCTATATTTGTGCTGTTGTTTAGTGTAGGCTTCAGAGAAGCTTCTGGAAAGAAAGCCTCACCATGACTAAATCCAACCTTCATTCCACTGTTGGAAAACAGGAGCCCTCAGACAAAGGAAGGCCGTAAGTGTCTAACATGGTGTCACTTAGACTCCTGCTGCCTGTCCTGTTTGTGATCACTTCAGTGTTTCTTGGTGGTACAATGGATGTCAGGTAAAACAGATCATTTAAACCCCCTTTCCTTGTGGAGTTCATAGGCCTTTAGTTCATTCACACCACTGTCAACAGTTCCCATTATCCATGTCCAGAATATTCTACCCTAATACGAACTCTTCCTTGCAAAACACAGGTGTGTTTGCCATGAGACTGAGTGAACTCATCTCGTCTCTCTCTCTCTCTCTCTCTCTCTCTCTCTCTCTCTCTCTCTCTCTCTCTCTCAGGCAGGAGCCATGAGCTCCAGACCCACTTTCTAGAGGGGAACTCAGAGGTACAGGGTGCCAGTTGAGCATAGGGAAGCCTGAGTTTGAGAGAGAGTCTACTTCTTCAAGACCTGGGTCATTGTACGGGGCAGGAGGGAGAGGCCAGCCCTGGTGTCTGGCAGCCTTTACCGGTGCTACCCCATGGCAGAAGAGGCAGGAAGAGGGGGCTCTCATGGAGGCAGGTTGGCTTATGCATGGCCTTGGAGTAAGGCCCAGCACATGGGCCACAGGCCCAGAGGCCCAGAAGTAGGACAAACCTCTGTTCTCCCCCCCTCCGAATCCCCCCTCAACCCAGTTTCCCCAGAGAGATGAGAGACGGGTGTGCTTTTCTTATCGTTCTGAAAGCCCAGTGCCTCTGCAGCCTAAAGGGGAATGGTGATCTGTATCTGTGTGGCTCAGGTCCCAAGTCCTGCGGGGGTGGGAGGGTGAGGGGTAGGGGATGCAGGTGTCAGCTGTGTGCATTGGGGTGGGGGCTGGGCACGGGCCCAGGGTGGAATTAGCTTGCCTCTAGCCTGCCTGCACAGCCCTGCCTTCTGGTTAGGAGCCAGGGGAGTCCTGGTGTGGGCATTTGGCAGCATCCTCATGTCCGTCTCTCTTGAGGCCGAGCAAGGAGCCTTCAGGGCCAGGATTCACAGGGTTAAAGCTCAGGAGGATGGACAGTGAGATTAGCCCTGGCCTCCCCGCCCTCGGGCTGTGCACCTGCTCCCAGCAGCCAGCCGGCTGAGCCAGCCTCTGATGTGCATTCACCCAAGCTCCCGGGACAGGCGCTCAGAAGCATTTCTGGGGCAAAGCTCAACTGGCTTCCCTCTGGCATGAGATTTGCATGGGGCCCCATACTTCTTGCTCAGGTGGAGCAAACTTGGCCAGGAGAGGAGGAGGGGGAGGGGTGTGTGGTCTGGGAAACGTGAGAGGACTCAGGGAGCCTGACCACTTTGCTTTGTGTCAGCCCATAGCAATGACACGCTGGGGCTGTCTTACCCCCTCAGCATCTCTCCTCAGCCCTCCTGCAGGGATCCCAACAGAAGCTCAGAGAAACACCTCAGTACCAAGAGTAGTACTAGTGTGGTGATAGCGTTAGCATTATCCATGGTATTAACACCTCCTATAGAATGACCTTGTAAGATGCTTCAGAGGATGAGGAAGTCCACTCAACTTGCATGAGACTCAACCAACTGTGAGACCTTAGGCAAGTCATTTCACCTCTCAGTTTCCCTGTCTATAAAATGGAGATACTGGGGCTGGGGTGTCAGTCAGGGGACTGGAGCACATGCTTTGCATGCGGAAGCCCTGAGTTCTTTCCCCCGTACACATGGTCCACCAAGCACCGCCAAGAACAAACCCTGAGAAACATGCTGGAAGTAAACCCCCAAACACTGGGGGCACATGAGATGTTTACATCTCATAGGGCTTCCATCAAGAGTGGATGGGCTTCACCCAGCGTCTAGTGCAGAGTATGATCCCACCACGGTGAGAGACAATCGAGATGACCGTGCGTCACATGATCCAGGCTCAGGACCATCTCACTAATCACTAGTGTCCACAGAGTAACCCCAAGAGATTGGCACCATTGTCTCTCTCTGGTCTGTTAACAAAATGAGGCTCGGAGGGGTCCGCCAGGCTCATAGACCTGGTTGGAGCCCACAATTGAGGACTCTGCAGAAACCCCACCTTCTGCTCCCCTGCCTCCCTTCTTGTCTTGGATTTCCATCCCCAACACAGTGAGAGAGATGCTTCCCGAGGCAGCGCCCCACCTGCCCCAGGCCAGCTCACCTGTCTGATGCTCAAAGGTGGGATAATACTCTTCATTGCTGAACAGGTCCGTCCACGACATCAGGGGGTCACAGAAGGATGCGTTGGGCAGGAAGGTGCTGTGTGTCACGGAGTCCAACATGGCCCTGGAACGGAGGGAGAAGCTGTGAGGAGGTGGACGAGGTGCCCAGCCCACCCCGGACAGCCCTCCCTCAGGGAAGCTCTTAGCAAATAGCTCTGAAGAACCAGGAGCCGGTGCAGGTGTGTCCTCCAGGCAGCTGGGGGAACTGAGCCATGGTCTGCATCTCCCCCTCGGTGAGGGGACAGAGCTGAGGCAGAGATGCTAGGACCTGGGGGGGAGCTCCTTTCTGCAACAGGAGCTCTTCCTCTCCTTTGCCAGTTGGCCCACATCTGCCTTCCAGTTTACAGCATTGAACAATATGTTGCTGAAAGCCCAGCAGGAATTGCTTGTGAGAAGTGAATATACCTGCAAACCCTTCACCATAATTCTGACAGCTGAAAACTCTCCATGGAAAAAGTGTGTGTTGGGGATTTCATTGCCCAGAAAAAGCCACTCCCAAATGAGTGTCCTTGAGCTATATAGATTGTGATTTGCATATCCATTACAGGCATATTTATCTTTATATAAAACTCTACGTGCACATGGTTTTATAATGTGACTCCTCGTTTTATTTATTCTACTTGAGAATATTCACAGGATTTCTTGTAGAAACATTGTGTTGAAACAGTTGCGGTAATCAATACCTTGAGGGGGCTATTTTCTATTCCATGCTGAATACACCTTCCTACAGTATGCATGGCCTTTTAAATACCTAAAGAATTCTGAATTCTGAAGCACATCTAGCCCTGGGGTTTTAGATCAAGGGTGAGAACCTGTGATGATTACAACACACAGCTTACGTGGGCTTACGTGGGTTTCATGGGAGCATGTTGAGGAGACCTTACATATATTCTGTCTGGTCCCCTGAGAATGATCACTCCAGGATGTGTGATGGAAGTCACTCTTGCCCATAGACAAGGGATCGATACTCTGAGACTCTGGGTAATGTGCTTCGAATCACCCAGTTGACAGATCTTTCTATCTAAAACAAGCCTGTGATGGGCTGGAGCGATAGTACAGCAGGTAGGGCATTTGCCTTGCACGTGGCTGACCCGGGTTCGATTCCCAGCATCCCATATGGTCCCCTGAGCACCGCCAGGAGTAATTCCTGAGTGTAAAGCCAGGAGTAACCCCTGTGCATCGCTGGATATGACCCAAAAAGAAAAAATAAATCAATAAGAAAAGCCTGTGTGTTGGAGTACAAGGAGCTTAGGTTTATCAGGTTGCACCCATCACAGTGCTCCCAAGTCATTCCCATTACTTTGTTTGTCTGTAACCACTTCTGTCCTCTTTTCCCCACCCACTTTGTAAGGTCTCATCCTTCCAGAACATTGAACTTGTACTGTAAGTTAATATTGCCTTTCCCTTAAAAAATAAATAAATAAAAAAGGAGGAATGCCCCATTTGACTCCTTGTCTTTGACATTGTTTTCTTTAAAATTTTTGAATTTACCTCAAGAGGAGAAAGGCAATATTAACTTACAGTACAAGTTCAGTGTCCTAGAAGGATGAGACCTTACAAAGTGATTGGGGAAAAGAGCACAGAAGTGGTTACGGACAAACAAAGTAATGGGAATGACTCGGGAGCACTGTGATGGGTGCAACCTGATGAACCTAAGCTCCTTGTACTCCAACACCTGTGCTCCTGAAGGGGTGATCCATGCCTTAGACACACTAACTGAGCAGGATGCCTATGTAGAAGGCCTTGAGGCAAGGGTGGAAATAGGGCAGAAGGACCTGTGCCTTAAGGGTACCCAGGGACCCCTGTGCCCACATACCTGCCTCATCTTTCAACTGCCTCTTAGCTGATTCCCAGCTTCCCCCAACTTTAAAGCAAGGATGCATGCTCGGGGGGAATTTGAAAAATGGATTCACTTCACCTATCTTTACTGGTGATTGCAACAACGAGCACTGAGAAGATAGAGCAGAAGCAGAAAGAGGGCGATTCTACCTTCATTTTGCAAAGGAAACGGAGCAGTTCAAGATCACACCGTTGGTAAGAGTCAGAGAAAAGACTGGGTGAGAAGTGTTGGAATACTGAGCAGAAGGAATGTTAAAACAGTCAGGAACTTATCGATCATCTAGATTGGTGTTTCTCAAACTAGCCATTGGCCCGCAGCCATAATAATTGACTTAATATACTAAAAAACATAAGCTCAACTAACTCCCTTGGAGTTTTAACAGAACTATACTTACTGAAAAGGGGAAAAGTTATATAATCACCAGAAGGGCAGTAGTCTTTTAACATGCATGAAAATAAAGACACAAGCATTTAAATAAAAATTATTCATCCATGTGTCACCTGAATCAGTTAGCAAACAACCCACAGGCCCAATCCAGCCCATAATCTATTTTTGAACAACCTGCAACTAAAAAAAAAAACCATCTTACATTTTTAAATGGTTACATTTTAAAATGGTTATGTAAGGTCCCACATAACATCCTAAAATTTGCCTTGTGGTTTTATATATCTGAAAATATTATTATCTGGCCTTTTAGGGAAAAGTGTGCTTATATCCGGCTGGATTGATCTTGCCTATTATGAGTAGATGGAGAAGCATTTCGGAGACGGAGAAAAGGAGTTTGTTCCATTTTTCCTTTCACTCTATTCTTTTACAGTCAAGAAAATTAAGTCTTGGGAAATTGGCACAGTTCGTTCACAGTAATGTAGACCAAGGATAGCTGTGTTGCATTTGCAGAAAGTTCCTTAGTTTTCCAACTCTTGGCCCCTTGGCTTCCCTTTCTAAGACACGCTCATGGTTGACTTTCTCCCACAGACCCTCCCAGGCACATTTACCTTTCAAATATCATTTTACTACCGTGTGTGGGGTGGTGGTGAGGATTGTGCAACTGCAGAACCAAAGGTCAATTCTTCGGAGAGTGTTTGCAAATCTATCATCATTTTCACTGTTAAAAAGGAAAAGAGGAGGCCGAGGGGTAGTACAGCAGGGAAGGCACTAGCCTTGCAAGCTGGCTGACCCTAGTTCCATCCGTGGCACTCCATATGGTCCCCTGAGCCCTGCCAGGAGCGATGCTTGAACATAGGGCCAGGAGTAACCTCTGGGTATGGTCCAAGAACCCCTTCCCCAATAACTCACAGAACCACATTTCCTACACAGAGAATGAACAGAGTTTAAATTCTATACATTAGCACTCTTTTTGCGAGAGCCACCTCTTGGGAGTCACCATACTGCCGGGGAGGCCTGTTTCCAGGTGCCCAGTGAGGGTTAAAGCACCCGGTGCCCTATCATACCCCCACATCTCCCTCCAGGAGACATATCAAGCAGAGGTCAAGGCTGCCTGGGTTTGGGCTCAGATTTTCCCATGGATTGGCTGGTTTTATATCCTGAGTAGGAGGCAAGCCGAGGAGGGAGTGGCAGGGAGGTTAGGAGGGAGGGATGGGTCCCTGCTGCCCAAGTTCTTTCTGCTTACTGGCCTTGACCTCTGAAAGCTCCTCTAGATGTGGGTGAAAGGGAAATATGTCTCCTGCCCCTCTGAGCCCACCACCGGAGGGGGAAGGATGACCCACCTCTGACTTGACCTTCAGTGAGTTTGGAGAAAAGACCAGGTGGATTCCAAATGGAAGCACACAGAGAACAGTCACCCGTAAAAACCCTGCAATTAAAAATCCCACGCTAGGGGCTGGACAGATAGCACAGTGGGTAGGGCATTTGTCTCACGAACTCAATCCCTGGTACCCCATACGGTCCCCTGAGCACACTCCCCCCTGCCCCCAGGAGTGATCCCTGAGTGCTGAGCCAGGAGTAAACCGTGAGTACACCTGGGTGTGTCTTTCCCCCGCCCCCCCCCCCAAAAAAAATATCCCACGGTGGGCACAAGCTCACTCTTCCATGACAAAGAGCTCTCAAAAGTCTCTGGGTTTATACAAAATTTAGCAATTCTTTTGTTCAATCAGGTCTTTTCTCCTTTACAGCTTCTTTCCCCTCTTCCTCCTCACCCCAGCCCACTCACCGGCTCCGTACTGTACCGTCTGTCTGTCAGACCGAGCACAGCACGTATCTGATTTCCTTTGGTAATTCTTCCTTGGGCAAATTATATCTATTAAGTTTTCTTAAAGGGCTCTCTCCATTTGTACAATGGGCTATTTTTCTTCTGTAATTATTTCAAGCTTTTGGGGAAAATGTCTTTTAGAAAAGCAGGATTTTTTTTTCCCCTTTTACTCTTTTTTGCTCTTGCGGTAGGATGGGGTGTTATTAAGTCTGGGCTTTCCACAAAAGATGGGGGCACTCAGTCGCATGCACTCAGTGGCGTGGAGGTTCCTGCATAAGGGTGGCTTTGTGTTAGCAGCCCTGCCCCTGGAAGCCTTCTAAGTTCTCTCAATAATCGGACAATTTAGCTCTTAACATGGGTGGGAAGCAACAGTCATTTGGGGCCCCTTTCTCTGTGGGGACCTTCGGGCCCAGGATGTGGAGGCCTCTGCCCAAAGTTAGAACATACCTTCCCCAAAGGGGAGGGCGACATGATTCCCAGGGGGAAAGAATTGGTTGTTGGGGGTCAAAAAAAAAAACAAAACAAAACAGACAAAACCAATAACCTTAGACCTCCCCATGTTTTTTGAGGCTGCAAAGGAGCAGAGGTGGTATAAAACTGGACAGTTGGGCCCAGGGAAGCAATCAAGAAACGTTGATCTTGAAGTTTCCTGGGGGTGGGAAAGAGAATAAATGCTAGGAAGCCCTGGGTTCGACCAGCAATCAGCAGGACAAAAGGGCCCTTGGAGGTAGTGCCCCAGGCCATGGCTCAAGCCAGGCCTTTTGTTTTTCAAGAGGTTGAAAGGTCTATCCTGTGGGGATCACAGGAAAGATGGTCTCCATTCTATCTCTTGCATCTCTCCAAATCTCACTGTTTCACCTATCCAGTGAATGCACTGATGTCAGGGACCGAAGATCTAGGGACCTACATGTCCTAGTTTTAAATACATACATATATATATATTTATAGCTTTGTTAAGTCCTCAGTTTAGCTATAGACATCCAATATTCCAACACCAATCTCACCACCACTGCACCTTCCCACCACCATTATTTCCAGTTTTCCCAACCACCCCTTAAGTCTACCCCTATAGCAGGCTTTCAATCACTTATTTTATATAGCTTGTTATAAATAATTTGCTAAAAGAATGATTTTTAAAAAAGTTTCCTTAGAAGAAAGTTAGCAAAGCTTGTTGCATCTCACCACATCTTATATTTCTTGTGTGTGTGTGTGTGTGTGTGTGTGTGTGTGTGTGTGTGTGGTACAGGGGGTCTTCCAAGAGGGGGGTTTAAGAATACTCCCAGTGATAATACTCCCAGTGATACTCAGGCAGCGCAGACCAGATGCCACCATGACCACTATGGTGGCACTTGGGAACCCCCAGTGGAGTTTTGGGGGTATATGGTGCCATGGATAGAATCAAGCATGTACCTTTGACCCTGAGCTCTGATGTCTGCCTCCTGGCTTCATGTTTTCTGCCTGACGGAGCCAACACCTATTCTTTGCACACAGGCCTGTACACGGGTTCTGTTTGGATATTGCAGTCAAACAAACGCACTGAAGTGAGATCAAATCTAACCACGCCAAACGGGTTCAACGTTCAGCTCTGAAAAAACTCCCGATTACCTCTATTCTCTTTTTCCCCTCCCTGGCCCATTGTCTTTAGTGGGGGCACTGGACTTGCCTCACCGGGGCTAGCCAGGCCCTTGAAGGACTCGGCATCCTTACTCATTGCCCGTCCACGAATCCACAGCTGTTAGAATCAGCAACCCCCTCCACCCTCCACGCCCACTCGCAAGGTGGTCCCCTGCCTAGCCAGTAGGAGAGGCTCAAGCACGATTCCCAGGGGGCATCAGCAGGGCCAGCTGTAGGTCCCTTTGGAGGGAGACAGCAGCAATGGCATGGAAGCTGCATCCTCGAGGCCTCCAGGGGCCTCCTCCTGCTGCCGAGAGCCGCCTCACTCACCCTTTGTGCACTGGAAGGGTCCACCGAGCCAGAGGCACAGGCCTGTTGGGCTTCTGGCCCCCACACGGTTCAGGCAGCAATCACAACAGTGTCCATGCCTTGAGCCACCGGGCACCTCTGCTCAGTCTTCATTGGCTGCGGGGTGGGGGTGGGGGAGAAGGAGCAAGCCACCCAGCCCTGGCCAGTTTGCTAGTGGAGGAAAATTCCTTCCTGACCCTGGCTGAGATCAGCAACTTCACTCTGGGCATGTGACCAACAAATCCACCCAATGAAGCATCTAGACCTTCTCTATGTGGCACCCAAGTAGGATCAGGCAGGACGAGGTAGAAACCAGGACAGAGAGGGCCAGAGGGGACCTGCCCTCACCTGACTCTCTCTGCACTGTCTCCGGGGAAAGTCAACTAGTCTCAGTGACACCCAGATGATATCCATGGGGGTCCCCATCCCTCCTGATGAAGGGAGCCATGCAGGGAAGCCCTGTGGCTTGTTTCGACACAGGCAGTTGGAGAATTGTGGGTTGGGTGCCCAAGTATTTGTTCTTCTGGGAGAGAGCACAGCTGCTGTGAGAACGAGTTTGTTGACGCTTTGCCAAGTGATGCCTCCACTTCCTTCCCCTTGCTTAGGGAGTACTCGTTGACTTTTTAAAAAGTTGTTTTCCTGCAGGAGCAGCACAGACCTCTACCTTCCCTTAAGGGATGCCTCAGATTTCATGAGGGGCTCTTGTGCAGAGCTCATTGGTTTGGGATTAAATCCACTGGGGGCTTAAAATCCTGCCTCTGCCATCCATCAGTTTTGGGATTTAGAGCCCATTCCTTACTAGCCAGCCCGCTGAATTGCTTTTTTTTTTGTTGTTATTCCTTACAGATGGGGTATATAAAAACCCACAACCTTCGCTGACGTCTACTTTTTGCATTTCTAAAATGAGGAGTGGTGAGACTCCATCCTCAGAATCCCATGAGGATTTGCTAAAATATTCCATAATACCTTCAAGAGAAAGAACCCGCATTGCATCTACCCATTCCTGCCCCACTGGCCAGGTGCTGCCAATGTGTCTAAAATGTTGCTACTTGGATGGCTTCTGAGAAAAAAAGGCAAGTCCAACGCGAAAACTCCTGCCAAGAGCACCTTGAATCACCAAAAAACATCCTGACTGAGAAGACAGGCGCGACCAATGCAGCTTTCCCTGAGCACCAACCGCTGCCCCTAGTTTCAGAACTAGACGAGAATACAAAGCCGTATCCATTTCTCTGTTTCCTCACGTAGGAAAGAAAAAGCTTGAACCTCGTGAACTCATCATCTTCCCAAAGCGGGTTCCCAGCTTGAAACGGGAGCATGTGCTACCCGGAACCGCCAGCAGGGGGCGAGGGCACAAGCCCGGTTTGAAAAGGCTGGAGCAGACAGTGGAAAAACCCTGGCCATTGCTTTTCCGAGAAACATTCGATTCGCAGGTGGTGCTGTGAGAAGGCAATGTGGGTTTTTTTTTGTTTGTTTGTTTTTTATTTTATTTTTTATTTCTTAAAAAATGATTTTGTGCAAATTCCTAAAACAATGCCCCCAATGGTAGCGAGGCAACTCTCAGTTTTAGACTAGGTGGGGTAAGAGGTAGTAGGTAGGGACAATGATGTCAAATCAGCCTAAGGGAAAGGAGGGGTTAAACCCGAGGCCGGTAACATTTTTCTTGCGGCTGAACTTTTTTTTTTTTTTTCAGTGTAAAACTCCAGCTTTCTTCATAAAAGCAAGTGTCTTTAGGAAAGCTTGCGCACTGGGTACCTCTATGCATTCTCTCTTGATTCTTCTGGGTTCAGCTGAGTGATTCCCTGGGTCAGTGGGGGCAGAGGGGAGGTGGAGGGTGGGATTGGGAGGGATGCTGAGGAAGGGGGCTCCAGGGCCCCAGGAGGCAAAGCTGCGCCTTGCAGGTCAGCATTTAAATCCCAGTCAAACAGCTCGGGGAGGCAGGTGAGGAAAGTGGCAGACGGCTGGCCCTCTGGCGCTGAGGATGGGCTCGCAGACCCAGGCCCTGCCGCTACGCCCTGACACCCCCGACAATTCCTCCAAAAGAGCAAAGAAAAGGTGCTTACGTGAGGACAGCGGTGACTTAGGTCCAAAGAGGAGGCTCTGAAGGCAAGAGAAGGCAGGCGCTCCCAGCACTGGCCCGCGCAGTGGAACTCAGGCACCTGTAGCCTTGTGATATAAGTAACACCTACAGACAGGTCCGTTTGGTTTTTCAGGTTTACGCACAGCCCCTTTGATGACGGTGACATACAGTGTGACACGGCTCCTTGGAGGGGGGTGGGGGGGTGCTGGTTCTCACATGCAGAAAGTTTACCTTTATCCTGCTTTTGTGCCCAGCTCACCCCCCCCCCCTCCCCGCCCGAGCCCAGGGGACTCAGTAAACAAGCCCAGAGTTCTTGCCTCTGGGAGCTTTGCGGGATCCTGCGTGGACCAGCAATTCTCGTTTGTGCTAGGTGTGTGTATGGGGGGGGCGGTTGAGGGGTTGGGGGAGCGACTCCAGAAATGCCGGGGTGTCAACCCTGCAGCCTGGTGGGAGTCCCGCACACCTGCCACAGCATGCCAGGTTTCCTTTCCCTCTGCACAAAGGGCAGGATGGGGCAATGGGTAAGCATGCAGGCTTTGCAGAGAGATGACTGGAGAGTCCCATTCCAGGCCCTTCAATTTTATCTGCATCACCTGGAGTAGGGCTGGAGTGATAGCACAGTAGGGCATTTGCCTTGCACACGGCCGACCCGGGTTCGATTCCTCCATCCCTCTTGGGGAGCCCAGCAAGCTACTGAGAGTATCCTGCCTGCACGGCAGAGCCTGGCAAGCTCCCCGTGGCGTATTCGATATGCCAAAGACAGGAACAACAAGTCTCACCATGGGGGCGTTACTGGTGCCCGCTCGAGCAAATGGATGAACAATGGGAGGACAGTGCTACAGTGCTACACCTGGGTAAAGAGCTAGGCTGACCCTCTGCCACAAGGAACAGCACCAACCCACAGTGCCAGTGAAGTGCCTAGTAAGGTGTTAGCCTTAGGAGGATTGGAGTGTTTTCCTCTATGAAGTGTGCTCAGCCAATACTCTCTTCTAGAGAATTTCCTCCAATCTGTGCCTTTACACCAGGTGAAGGGAGAAGACAGGGCACAGAGCCTGAGTTAATACCCCTCTACTTTTTTTTTTTTAACTTGAGGCACTATTGGGAAATCCGACACAAAACTTATTCCGCTTCTTTCTTGTTTTGGGAGGGGACCTACCTCCCAAGCAGTGTTCAGGAACTCCAAGGGTTACTCCCTACAATGCTTGGCTCTGTTGTGTGAGCTGAGGTGGGGGGGTCAATGCTTGGGTCTGGCAGTACTGGGTCCCACCCACCGGTGCTGGGGGTTGGGTGGTGGCATGCAGTTGTCAAGACTGGATCCACATGCATGGCCCGTGCTCTAGCCGCCGTGAGCATTCTCTCTGATCCAATTGTTTCCACTTCAACATCTTTGGACATAGCTAGCCACATGATGTCTTCTCTTCCCTTCTGCCCCTTACACAGAAAAGAGGTTTCACTGTCTACTTTGGTGTCCCTAGCTAATGGGAGGGAACCCTGACCTCAAAGCCAGCTCTCGGGTACTTCATTTGACAACTACCCACTCTTGTAGCTGTTCTCTGAGGGTCCAGGAAGCCAACCTGATGTAGGCTGTAAAATGCAGTGTCTCGGGGCCCCTGGGACAGCACTTAGAGGCTCTGGCTTCTTTGCACTCGGTGTCCCGCTCTCTTTGACAGCTGGGACATTGTGTCCACACTGCAGACGCCAAGCTCCAGGGTGAAATCAGAGACTGGTTTGTTTGGTTTCTTGGGAGCACTGGGCATGGGTACAAACACACACACACACACACACACACACACAGAGTCTGAAGAAACAAAAGGGACTTCATCAGGGGTTTCAGGGTGTCATCGTGGGGAAATAATTGCAGGAAGATAAAGGGTCCACCTTAGCTGCTGACTTGCTGTCTAACGCCAGGCAGAGAAATAGTGGAGCTTCTCTGAGCTTCATCCTCCATCTCCCCTGCTCCCACCTCCATCCCCCATAAAAATGAGGGAGCAAAAGGATGAGGTTGGATTAGAATAGTGATTTTCAAATTGTGCTTGGAGGAATCCCAGGGGTTCCTTACCAGGGCTGTTGCGGGGGAGAGGATAGGAGTGGAATGAGCAGGCTCTAGAATTCTCTCCTCCCTGAGACAATAAGAGCATTTCAGCTCTGACATAAATCTTCAGGGTAAGATTTCATTTGAACAAAAGAATCTGTACTTAAAGAGTTTGCAAAGAACTGGATTAGATGGTTTTTGAAATTCCTTTAAGAGCTAAAATTCTGGGATTTGCCTCTTCCTTTTCAATGTCTGGGCAGCTCCAGCCTTTCCACACAGCATGCTGTCCCCTTTTCAACACGGGTTTCTGAAAAGCTTCTCGGGCTGGGATTTGCACGCAAGTGTTCCCAATGGAGAGGATTTCAGGGAAAGCGTTCTATCCTGTGGCTGGTTTTGAAGAGCTTTTCTGAGAGTGACTTTAATTTCAGAGGGGACGCTTTGTGATTGCGGGTGCTCACGACAACTAACTCTGTTGGTTGGATGTATGTATAGTCCTGGATAGTATAATCTGGCATCTCAGAGTGACTTTGTGGGAAATTACAGGCTCTGGACCCGTGGATAAAAGGGATGATTAAGATAAAACCAAAATAAAAGAGGAATTTGACTCTAATTAAGCGTAACCATCATATTGAACCTAAAATTTGATTGGAGTGGGGATCTCAGATACTATCAAACACTAAACTCATAAACATTGTATTATGAATGTCAGCAGAAGGCAAGAGATGTGTCAGGGTGGGGAGAAGGAGGAATGAAGCACTTAAGAATCTCTAGCCAACAATAACAACAGGTAAAACAAAACACACTTCTACAGCAACCTAGTATAGACAGATATTGATATATGTCTGTACATGGAAACTATATAATGTTATAAAACAATGTTACTTCAATTAAAAATGGAATTACCAAGTGAAGAACCCCAGATTATGAGGGGAGGCATCCTAGGTTTGAATGAATGCTTTACAATTTGCTGGTTGGATAAACATAGGTAACTTACTCAACAGCCTTGCAAGCCATTTCCTTCACCTGTAAGTTGGGAGTGGGATGGGGGCGGGGGTGGGGTGGGGAAGGCAGCTCTTATTGGAGTGCTTGGTGGATTCAGATTGGGTAAATTAATTAGGACCTGGGGAACAGAGAGATCTCTAAGTATGTGCTCTATTATCTATGTGTTGCTCTGTTACCTGTGTTAAAGTCATTAAACTAGCAAACCAGTAGAGAGGGGTGGCTTTCATTTCTTCTTTGGTAGGGTAACCAAAAAGTAAGCGAACCGAAAACTAAGCGAGAGTATCTTTTTTTTTTTCTTTTTGGGTTACACCTGACAATGCACAGGGGTTACTCCTGGATTTTCACTTAGGAATTACTCCTGGCGGTGCTCAGGGGACCATACGTGATGCTGGGAATCAAACCTGGGTCGGCTGCATGCAAGGCAGACACCCTACCCACTGTACTATTGCTCCAGCCCCTAAGTCAGAGTATCTTATAAATATATTTATCACAGCCACGGGTCACGGTCCTCCCGTTGTTCATCAATTTGCTCAAGCGGGCCCAGTAACCTCTCCTTCGTGAGACTTGTTGTTACTGTGTTTGGCATATTGAATACATCACGGGTAGCTTGCCAGGCTCTGCCGTGCGGGCGAGATACTCTCGGTAGCTTGTCAGGCTCTCCGAGAGGGGCGGAGGAATTGAACCTGGGTCAGCCGGGTTGGCCGCGTGCAAGGCAAACACCCTACCGCTGTGCTATCGCTCCAGCCCAAATATATTTATATCTGGGAAAAATATTTAGTTAAAACAAAAGAATCAACCAAGTTTCCCTAAACTAAGTAACCCTTTAAGCTATAGCCATTCAAATATCTGCCTTGCTTATCTTCCATATCAACTCCATCCAAGTCTTCCTCTTGGCTTTTATATGCTCTTCACATCTTCCAGTTTGGCTCGGTTGGATTTAAATTTATTCAGATCTTGGAAAAAATGAATCTGTGCCTCAGTTTATCTCTGAGCACATTCTTTAACATAAATTCTCACAAAACTTTGATGAGGGAGTTACTTATTATCTCTATTTAATAGATGAGGAAACTGAGTCAGAGATAGGTTAAGTAATTTGCCCATGGTCACACAGTTAATAAGTGGCAGAACAAGTATGGTAGTCCAGATTGCTTGTCCCAAGAGTTTATCCTCCTAACCGCTGGGCTAACTAGCCTCTGGTGCTCCTGGAGAGGCTGTTTGGGGATAGGAAGTAAGAACCCACACAGGTATTCATACATGGCACACGTGTGCCAAGCTGTGTTCTGGGAATGCTCAACTGTCTACCTTGGCTGTCTTTCACAATAACTCTGGGAAGTAGCGTGTGCTCCCTTCATTGTAGGATGAAGAAATAGAAGTGCAAGATTGCCAGGTGTTACCCGGTCAGCAAGCATCAAACTGGGTTGCTAAGACCATACTGTGCTCACAGGAGCTCAAGTTGGCTTCTGTCCTTTACCTCAGCACTTGCCTCAGAGAGGACTTTGCTCTTTCTGTTGGTTCAAGAGCTTGCTGGTCCAGTCTGTTTCTCAGTGTAGAGTGGAAATTGAATCCCTGGTGCTTAGCATGGTTCTTGGGACAAAAGGGATATTCAATCCATGCAGGCACCATGGGAATGAATTAACAGACAACTCACCTGAGCAGAGACTTCTACCCAACTTTTTTTTTACTAGGTATTCACTATGTACTAGCCTCCATACTTTTCCTAGAACCTGCCTCTTTTCATCCAGGCCAACATTTCTTAAGCCTTTCCTTCTCTTCTCCAATCTGCCCGCTTACTCCCACCTCCAAGAGGAGCACAGGACAGAAACAAAATAAGTTTAAAAGCAAGTTTGAGTGAATTTCTAGAGGATGCCATTCCTAGGAAGGAGATTTGCAGTGTGAAGGTGAAAAATATGAGTTTTGGATTAGATTTCCTGTTTTCATTGACTTAATACTATTTTAATGAAAAAAGAGTTAATTGGAGAAACGACATTTCTCTCTGTTCACTTGGCTCAAATATTTAGAAAGGGGGTTAAAATTATG